TTGGAACAATTGATGGGGGTGAATCTGAATGATGAATATCTTGTGAAAGCGATAAATTGTAGGGTGGTGCCAGTAGCTGGATATGTCATGAATGTATGTAACTTGAGGAAAGGAGATTTGGAAAAGCTGGATAAGATCGTTAAAACCGCACTTAGGAAACAAGGATTTCATGGAAAGCAAGCAAATGACGAAAGATTGTACGCGAAAAGAGATGACGGTGGAAGGGGATTGAAAAGCTGTAAGGAGGTTTACGATGAAACGAAAGTAAGGGTAGCATGCTACATAGCAACATCGAACAACGAGTGGATTGAAGTGTTATGGAGAAACGAGTACATGAAAGAGCAAACATCATTGAAAAGAGTGGCAGAAGAAGCAATGGGGCGAATGAATGCACATGTCGAATTCAATGTTGGAGAAATCAAGATCGGAAACGAAAGCTACGTGGATTGGCATGTCGCATGGAAAAAGCTTAAGAACATCATAAGGAAAGGGCAAATCAGGAACAAGGCTGAAACCTTCAGGGAAAAGAGACTGCAGAGTGAAATACCAATGGGATTTGACAAGGATGATCATGGTTGGCTGAAGTGCAACACCGACCCGAGAAAAACAGCGTCGATATTTACATTGCAGGAACAGATGATCGAAACAAAAGCATGGAAGAAAATGAGAGGACTAGTGGACCAAGACAAGTGCAGATTGTGTGGGGAATTTAGAGAAACAGTTCAACACCTATTGGCAGGATGCAAAAAGTTGGCGGGATCAGAGTACGTAAGAAGACATGACAACCCGTTAAAAGTACTAGCAGTGCAATGGGCGATTGATAATGGATTGTTACCGAAAGGAACGAAGTGGTACACAGAGAAATGGGAGAGGAAAAGTAATTGCAAATAACGGGAAGAAGCTATATTGGGATTGAGAACATCGGATGAGGACGAGTTGCACGGCAAGGAGGCCCGATCTGACGCTAGAGGACAGCAGAGAGAAAGAGATTATGCTAATAGACATGGCATGTCCGCATGAGTCGAACAAAGACGGAAAACGAGAAGAGAAGATAAGAAAGTACCAACAGCTTTGTTATGAATTACGGGAAAGACGGGACGGATATAAAGTGAAAGTTATACCAGCGGTGATCGGCTTAAAGATGATATAAGAGAGTTGTTTAACAACGAGAAAGATTTACACTGGATAAGTAGAGAAATGCAAAAGACTGTATTATGGGAAAGCGAGACAATTATGAGAAAAATATTATCTGGACTGTTGAGGTGTGAGATATTATCTGGATAATATCTTCGAATAATAGCTGACAAACGTTGATAGCTATATAATTCGCCTTGAAGTAAGAAGGGCACCGGCCAATGTTACAATATGCGTTTAGAATTTATTACGGTTTTATGAATTGTATAACTTAGTGGAGGCATCATTGTATTGTTGGTTTTTTCTAAAAATAATAATAATATTAATATTTATTCAGGAAGCTCCACTCACCGAAGTGTTTTTCAGGGAGGTCCTGTAATATATATCCATATTATAAATGGTAAACTATACTAGCAATGCTATTTAAAGACTATAAAATATTTACAAATGGATTATATATTATTATACTTTATAATTAGAAAAAAAACAACAACAAAAAAAACCCAACTTAACTTAATTTGATAAATTGTTCAACTTGATTAAATAAATTGTTTTAGTTTGGATTTAAAGAGATTAAGATCAGTAGATTGTTTCAGTTCAATAGGTAATAAGTTCCATTCTGATACCGAGTGATAAGTGAATTGCTGTTTTCCCCAATTCGGGAAGGTAGTAGTTGCAGTAAACACAAACCTCTGGGAAGATGTTCTGTGACCGGTTTGATTATAAAAATGACAAATAACGTAATTGGCTTACATAAACAAAAGGAATATTGTTCTTGCTTTGTTCTTTAGAAAATATATTTAATAGCTTATTCTTTTGTTATTGTCATAATCAACCAATCACAGAACGTCTTTCTAGGGCTTCGTGCCGACCCAGTAGTTGTTAAACAAAGTGTAGAAACTATGATATTGTAACTAGAGTCAAATATTGTAACCGTCATGCACATTGCCAAATTCTACAAATGTCGATCCATACTGCAGTGCAAACAATTCCTTCTTTTAATACAGATGCGGTCACGTATTATGATCCTTCCATCTACCGTCTTCATGGAGAATGGAAGGTAATCAATTGTGGAGACCTTTGGGCTTATGCATTTCTAATGTTTACACGCAATGATGTAAACGTTCACCCTCCAGAATATCGTCGTTACGTTGACAATGACAAAATAAAATTGGTTTCCACGAATGTCTTTAATATAACACGGTTGAAATATTATGACAGCGGGCAGTACATGTGTATCAACGCGATTGTGAACGGTACTAAAGTTATACCCTGGGATGTGAAAATATATAATCTCATTGTATTGAATGAAGGTAAAACTTGCATCATTCACTGTTCTTTCTTTTAACTTTTTTGGAATTTCGCAATATTCTTGTAATAATAATAGTCATTTTAATCACGTCTATATAGTGGTTGTGTCCGCCTAATGGACCATTCCCCAATTAAGAAAAGTTTAGAAAAAATTCCATCATAGCATGAAAGTACATCACAAAATTAGTAATATTCCAAAGTTTTGTTGCGAAATGTTGTAAAATGCGGCTAATATCGCCTTGCGAAATTTGAAATTTTCAGTCATTTTAGATTATACAAACGGGAAATGGTTACCACTTTTCGGAAATTTTGATCTTAACTAGCTTAAACAAAAATTTCATCACAGCTTGAAAGAGCATCACAAAATTAGTAATATTCATGCAAAGTTTCGTTGCGAAATGTTGTAAAACGCGGATACAATATAGCCTTGCGAAGTTTGTAATTTTCATTCATTTTGTGTTACGCACAGAAGTGGTAACCATTTCCCGTTTGTAATCTAAAATGACTGAAAATTGCAAACTTCGCAAGGCTATATTATCCGCATTTTACAACATTTCGCAACGAAACTTTGGAATATT